CCTTGGGGATAGGAGTAGGCAAAGCTTTAAGTGGACAGGTTTTTAATTGGCTGGTACCGGGCACCCTGATAGAGTATATTTATTCAGACTGTAACCTGCTAGGAAGGCTGCTTCATTTCACATAGCCTAATTTCAGGGACTCCAATGGTGCACATTTTAAAACAGGATAATTAGGCAGGAAGCCCGTAGAACAACAAGGTAGGAATGTTTTCACAGGCATTTCCTTTAGTGTTAATAATATCTGCATTGTAAAAATACTCTACATTCGTTAAAACATTCACATGTGTTCTCGTAAAACAAGTTATAAACAACAAAAACACAAAGACAGAATCAATTGTGATGTCAAAATCTGAATATGTTTAGTTGGGTTCTCAAGAGCAGTGGTCCTCAACCTGCCCAACGCTGTGACCCTTTAATACAGTTCCTATGTTGTGATGACCCCAACCAGAAAATTATGTCATTACTACTTCATTACTGTAATTTTGTTACTGTTATGAATCGTAATGAAATATCTGATGTGCAGGAGATCTGATATGCTACCTCCAAAAGGGTCTTGGCCCACTGGATGAGAATCACACTGCTTTAGAGAAATAAATATATATTTCATTTATTACATATATTTCATTTATTAAGTGATCTTTAAACAATGATAGTCAAATTACTCCTGAGATGCTGAGAACCCATACTCAGTTGTTAGCTCTGGCTGCCTCAGTACTCAGAGCAGTCCCAGAATAGCTGTCTCTCTCTGGGGGGACCTGCAGTTACTCAATCCATAAGGCAGTAGTCCCAGTCTAGTGCTGGAAGCCCAGAAAATGTCTGGGTAGTCTATGCTCCCTCTTCCACCAGGAAAGCTTGGGAATGCTGATTCTACTATATGTGAAGGAAGCAGCAGCAGCAGGGATAAATCAACTCAGGGGCAAGAGGAAGGCCAAGCCAGCAAAGGGCAAGACAGGCTTCTTTCTGAAATATTGTTTTTTAATCTGGGCTTCTCCTGGGAGGTGCTGCCCACAATCAGGACAAATCAAATCAGAACAAACTCTTCAGGTGAGTCTCCCCATTCAGGTGATTCTAATTTGTAGCAAGTTGGCATTGATACCAAATTTCTATCTTCCATCAACTAACCCAGACTAGTATGACTTCCCATAAACATTATTTTACTACTAACAGCAGAGAGAGAAATGTCTTAATGATCTTAAATCAAAAACGCTCTCTTCACACTCTGGTACCCTCCCTCCTTTCTTGGTTGTCTTCTCTTTCACTTTATAAAAATCACCAAAAGTGATAATCACACAAACACTCACACCGCACACACAGATACACACACACCACACGCACACACATGCACACACTGCACACACACACATACACACACTGCACACACACGGGCGTGCACACACCACACACACACACACTGCAACACATACACACACATACACACACCCCGCACATAAGCACATATACACACACAGCACACACATACACACACACACTGCACACACACACCGCATGCACACACACCACACACACACATACACACACTGCAACACATACATACACATACACACACACCCCGCACACACACATACACGCACGCACACACACTGCACACACATCGCACATACACACCGCACACACACACACCACACCACACACCCATTCACTGATCGCTTAGCTATGAAGATCCTCTTTGCTGAACCACTGTAAGAGAAATGTAAAGACACAACCTTCTCTCTTGTCTCACAGCTCCTCCAGGGTTCAGCAGATTAAAGACTCTAACACAACACAGCTTCCTCTGACCTTCCTCTGCTACACTTGACTGTTATTCCTGATCCCACCCGTTCATCTCCTCCCCGTGTCTGCCTTTAATTAACCCACGTGTTGAGAAATTGAACTCTTATCCTGCTTGATCACTCGATACCATTGAACACCATTGCTCCTGTGGTTTGTTCTATTTTAACTTTTTTCTTATGTACAAGTAATTTACAGCCCTTATTTAAAATTTAAGAACTAGAATCAGTCACTTTTAAACTGTCAGAGGTAAGCAATTGAGAGGGAACCATTGTGACAACAGCTTTTGAAGGATTTGTCAGTGTATATACGTGTTCGCACACCCACAGATGCCTGCACAGTTATCATCTAACAGAAGAAATGTTTTCCATGTCCAGATACATTCTGTAGCATGACTTTAATCAGATGCATAACATGCTGTTGTTTGGATGTGCTATGATTTAGTTAACTGACTGCTGAATATTCATGCCATTTCTGACACAGCATTATGATATATAATTCTGTGGTTTGTACTCTTATATGGAAGTTTTTGTGCATAATTTTGACAATTACCATAAGACATGGTATTATACATGGAATCAATAAGTCAGAGGTTATTTACACATTCTTATGTGCCAGGTACACATTAATAAATCAATTTCCAAGAAGACTGTAGCAATACATTTACATTTTAGAAACATTGTAAAGTCTTGGGTTAAGATCATAGGCTCAGGAGTCCTGTCCCATCCCTGTCCCTTGGAGTCATAGGTGGTGTGTCCTCCCAGTTTTCCTTCCTCAAGTCTTCGTTTTTTATGTTTCTGGACAGCTTCCAACCTGGCGATTTTATCCACGCAAAGCTCTTGTGCTCTTTTGTCGACTTGAACTTCCTCTCGTTTCCCTCCGATTTCCCAGGTTCCCCACGGCCTCCTTTACTCAAGCCAAACACCTCCATATCCTCCTTTGTGTGGATGGGGGACCTCTTATATCCAGAATAAAGAAATATTGGTGGTGAAGATAATGCTTTGAAAGCGATGGGTGAACAAATTTCTCTTTCTGAAGAGAAAGGTTTGTTTTTCTCACCCCTGGACTCCAGAGCTCTTCTGTCTCACTGAATGTTCCTTTCCAACTGTGCGCTCTGTGATGTGAGGCACCCCTCAGCTACCTGGAATTTATGGGAGAGGCTAGATAAGGGTTTCTGTGGTCCCAGAACAGGGAGAGACAAGCATACCTGATGTTCTGTACTGGCTCAGACTACCACTGTCTGTCTAGTGCTGTGTGACACCTTCCTTGGCCAAATAAAGTGGGCCCGATTTATTCTAGAGCGGCTGGGGCTACTAACACATAGGTTATACCCAGGAAGCCTCCCTCAGTCTGGCTGCCTCTTCTTCCTGCTTGCTGTTTCTGTCTTCATTCTGATGCTATCCTCAGGGAGAGGGAGAAAGCCATTCTGTTCTTTCGAAAGATAACTTTGATGGATGTGTTTGTTATTGCCTGGCCTCCTGGGAGCCGGGCTCTTCCATTCAAGGCAGTTAATCTTTCTAAGCTTTATCTGATAAGCACAGATGATAACAGTACCTACCTCATTGGTACGGAAAGTGTATAAAATAATTCACAGGGAAGTGCTGAAGGGAGAGCTGGCACACAGCTAGCAGCCAATAAATGTTATCTTCATGGCCATCGTTGGAGATTTGTTTTTAAAGGGTCTAAAGCTATTTTTGATTTCTCTGTGGTCCTTTTGGAGCTTTTTCAAATACTGTGCTCTGAACATTGCCTGCTTGGACACATATCTCATCTTTATTTCTGTCTTTAGTAGACGGAGTTCTTCAAGGATAGTGACTGAGTTCATTTTTATCTCCCCAATACCCTGCAATGCACATAGCAGGCATTAATAACTGTCTGTGGGAAGGTATACTGGATGAATGGTTTATGCTTTTACTTTTTGTTCTAGTTTGCTAATTTTGCATCTGGAATTCTCTTTTTAGTTTTTAAGTAACTTAAACAATTTTTAAGATTGTAATATAGTTATACCATTTCCCCTTCCCTTTCACCCCTCCTAAACGTCCCATGTATACCCACCATGAAAACTAAGGGGTTTGGCACCAGATGTATGACCACTCCATGGTATGGTTAAGAGTAAGTTATTACTGTATGTATGAGAGAGGGCACAGCCAGAGGCATCTGGAAGACTCCAAGCAGGGAGAGAAAGCAGTAGACTGAACAAGTATGGCAGACTGAACAGGCCAGGAGAGGAGAGAGAGAGAGAGAGCAGGAGAAAGGAAGAGAAAGACAATTTCTGTTTTTAAATTTTTGTTATGGGATTTTACAACATTCATAACAACTTAGCAAGATTAAAACTACATAGTATTGGGTTGGAGAGACAGCTTGGCAGTGAAGGGCTCTGTTATTCCGAGGACCCAAGTTCAGGTCCCAAAAACCACGTCAGGTGCCACACAACTGCCTATAACTCCAGCTCGGGATGTGACACCCACACTCACACACACATTCCCACACCCACACTGAGAGACTTACACATAACTTAAAATAATAAAAAGAAATCTTAAAACATGTAGTATTAAAAGTTACTGTGCACCAGGCAGTGGTGGCAGATGTCTTAAATCCAAGCACTTGGGAGGCAGAGGTGGGTTGTTCTCTGTGAGTTCAAGGCCAGCCTGGTCTACGGAGTGAATTCCAGGATAGGCTCCAAAGCTACACAGAGAAACCCTGTCTTCTCAGAAAAAAAATTATAATAATGTGTTTATAAAACATTTCCTTGTAGGTTCAAACATTCTTACCAATGGGTATTCCCAGTCAAAGATTAAACACTGACTACTGGTCTAATTAAAATGTATTAATTACCCAGAATTCACTGCAGAATACTTGTCTGGTACCATAACTGTGGCCCGTTTCTCTATGGTTGCAGGGACTGGGCAAGTCAGGCCAATTTTCCATTGTTTGATTTATTTAATGAATTGATTCCATTTGAATTCGATTTTCTTGTGCTGCTCATTATGACATAATAAAAAGAATAAGTGAGTGTGTTTATTAAAAGATTAGGTATAACGGATGCCGTGGCATTCTGTTCTAGAAGGCTAAGGTGAGAAAACGGTGAGTTCAAGGTTAGACTGGGTAGCACCAGATCCTGTCTCAAAAAATGTTATGGTGCCGTGATTAGAAATAACTTTTCCATGGGTAGTTAATAGTTAATGATAACTAGCTTCTTTTTTCTACCCTAGGCTGACCAGATATCTGGTTTTCACATAAGATCTGTTCTCTGTGTCCCTATCTGGAACAGCAACCACCAAATAATTGGTAAGACATTACCCATGTGATTCTTTGTGGGGCAACCTTTCTTTAAAACGGAAACCAGGCCCGTACAGTTTTATGTGTTCCCCCGTTATGCGTGTGTGTGTGTGAGAGAAAGAAAGAGAGAGAGTGGATGTGTGTGTGTGTGTGTGTGTGTGTGTGTGTGCGCGCGCGCGCGAGAGAGAGAGAGAGAGAGAGAGAGAGAGAGAGAGAGAAAGAGAGTGTGTGTGTGCGTGTGTGCATGTGTGTGTATGCGTGCGTTGCCTCTGACCTCTGGCTAGCCTGGGGCTCATAACAACCATCCCTCCTCTGGCTCCCCAGAACATACCAAGGTCTGTCTCCATACTCTTCTACAATTCCATAAGCACAGACTACTAACGAATGGGCATCCATTAGATCAGGAACAACTATCTACTGAGCTCAAAGCTCTAGTAAATTCCAAAGCTGGAAGGGCTCTCAGAAGCCTACCTTCTGAACTTTGTTATTTTACATGGCAGACATTGAAGAACAGAGACGGAATTGGGAGAGAGAGAGAGGGAGGAGAGGAGAGACTGAAACAGCCACAAACTTAGAGTTAATAAGAGATCAAGATTAAACTTGAGGGGTCCTAACTTTCTGAGGATGTCTACGACCATGTCTGAGCTTTCACACGTAGTGTGGGTGCAGAGGTGTTGGACACATCTGCACACATAACTTTGCCGGCACGTCTCTAAAGAGACACTTTCCCCACAGTAAGGAAACCAGGCAAAAGCAGCTTCCGACATCTTTCTCCCTCCCTGCCGTCTCCCTGTACCTAGGAAAAGAGTCGGGACCTGGCACAATGGCACATAGCTGAAACCCAGCACTTGGTGAGAGGCAGGAAGAGATCAAAGTCATCCTCAACCACACAGTGAGTTCAAGGCCATCCTGGGACTATAGGAGACCCTGCCTCAAAAATAAATAAATAAAACCTAAACAACTCAATCAGAAAAGTGCCAGAGTCAATACAGACGCGCAGGCAAACAAACAGTTTATGATTAAGCTTAAACAATCATGAAGGAGAGTTACTTAAAACTATGAAAATACAATGAAAATGTGATTTTTTTCTTCTAAGAGACATAAGGTGATGGATTTTGTACGTAACATACAACCTTGCTTCTCTCTACCACACCCTAAGATTACTGGCTAAGCACAAAGATAGTACTGCCTAACCAAGGACTTAGTGCCCTGGGAGTGTTGTCGAGGTCAGATTGAGGAGGGAGGACAGAGTTTTATGTGTTCCTGGAACTCTTGGTCTTCCTGGCTCTGCATTCTGAGTGCTGAGCTCACAGGTGTGCATGCCTTCCTGCTCACGAGGCAAACACTGGACAACTGAGATACACCTGTAACCCAAGTCCTGCATTTCTGGAGGACATCTTTCCCACTGGATTGCTTAGCTTGTACAAATACATTAGTAGGTTATTAAGCATAAAGAATATTCTAGGATCTTAGACACTAAGCCTGAATACAAATGGGGAATTAGTTTACATCATATATAAAGTTTTAGATATATCCATATTTAAAGGAGAGAAAATGTCCATAGAAGACAAATTGTATGTTAACCGAATAGCAACCTCACATATAATCCTACATTTCAATCCTAATGATAAACGTCGCTATTACTCCAAAGTCCAGCTATAGTTTTCTTCTTATATGCTAAGAACTTTTCATTTAGTTATATGTTGCTGAGAATCTGGTCAGTTCGCCAGGGGAAGTTAGGTACTTTTAAAAATACAGGCTCACTTTAGAATCAGAGTTATTTTTTTTCTTTCTTGTTTTTTTGAGACAGGGTTTCTCCATGTAGCCCTGACCTTGCTGGAACTCACTTTGTAGACCAGGCTGGCCTCCAACTCAGAGATCCACCTGTCTTTCCTCCGTGCTAGGATTAAAGGCGTGAGCCACCACCGCCCAGCGAATCATAGCTATTTTTTTGCATATTTCTGCTAAATGGAAGCACACTGAGGTTTCCAGTTAGAGCACTGTTGTTTTGTCTTTTTGTTGTTGTTGTTTTTGTTGTCTTTTTATTTTTTTTATTGAGAAAAGGAGAAAAAAAAAAGAAGTTTCCACCTCCTCCCAGCCTCCCATTTCCCTCCCCCTCCTCCCACTCTTCGCCCCCTCCTCCCACCCTTCTCCCCCTCCCCCCACTCCTTTCCCCCTCCCTCTCCAGTCCAAAGAGCAGTCAGGGTTTTCTGCCCTGTGGTAAGTCCTAGGACCTCCCCCCTCCGTCCATTTCTAGGAAGGTGAACATCCAAACTGGCTAGGCTCCCACAAAGCCATCACATTTCGTAGGATCAAAACCCCGTGCCATTGTCCTTTGCATCTCATCAGCCCTCATTGTTCGCCATGTTCAGAGTCCAGTTTTATCCCATGCTTTTTCAGTCACAGTCCAGCTGGCCTTGGTGAGCTCCCAATAGATCAGCTCCACTGTCTCAGTGGGTGGGTGCACCCCTCGTGGTCCCGACTTCTTTGCTCATGTTCTCCCTCCTTCTGCTCCTCATTGGGACCTTGGGAGCTCAGTCCAGTGCTCCAATGTGGGTCTCTGTCTCTATCTCCATCCATCACCAGATGAAGGTTCTATGATGATAAGGGTCACGGAGTCTACAATAGGTGAATCTAAAGAAGCTAAGTAAGAAGGGGAACCCAAGGAAAAACATATAGTTATCCTCTTGGCTAAGGGAAGTAGACAAAATTGCCGGGGAGAAAATTGGGATCATGGGGGTGGGGTGGGATGGGGGTAAGGGGAGATGGGGAGAGAAAAGTTAGAAGGGAAGGAGGTCGGGCCTTGGGAAAACAGGAGGATTGGGATAAAGGAAGGTTGGACAGGGGAGCACGGAACCACAATTCTTAGTTAAGGGAGCCACTTTAGGGTTGGCAAGAGACCTGACCCTAGAGGGGCCCCCAGGTGCCCAAGCCGAGGTCCCCAGTTAGTTCCTTGGGCAGTTGAGGATAGGGAACCTGAAATGACCCTATCCTAGAGCAATACTGTTGTTGTTGTTTTTGGAAGTGAAACACCAACACTACTGGTAGAACGCCAGGAATGTATTTGGAAAGAGGAAGCCCTCATAAACTGAGACTGTTGAGTGTGTGCGCCATTGGTAGCAGGTAGCAGAACTAACTTTGCTTTGATCTATGTGTGTCCCATAATATCATGTTGTATGTCTTGAGTATGCATGTTGAAAATTTAAGACTTATTTCACATCTTTATAATCCTTTGAGGTAGTTTGTATTTTAACTCTTTTTGCACAGATGAGGAAGTTCATCACTAAACATGGTCACACAGTTGGTATTGGAACTAAGGTTCTACCTAAATCCAGGTTCCTAATCACTCTGCCACAGTGCCCCTCCCAAACACCAAAGCATGTGTGTGTGTGTGGGGGGGGTTATATATTATATACAGAGATAAATAGATTCAATGATATATGTAAAACAGTGTGTACATATTCGAATATACTTGCCAACTTCATCACACCTCCAGCGTGGAGGCGGGTTGAATGAGTGTGTTAAGCTATTCATAGAATTAGCTGCGACCTGTTCTCTCTCAGTGACAATGCCCAGTACTTACAGTGACCACTGTCTCCACTTTCCCTCAACAGGGGTCGCTCAAGTGCTGAACAGACTCGATGGGAAACCTTTTGATGATGCAGACCAGCGGCTTTTTGAGGTGAGCAAATAGACTTAAAAGCCAAGGGCCAGAACCAAATTGCCAGCCATTTCCTTGCCCGCATTTGTTAGGGTAAACATTAATCTTTCTAATGTAGTTAAACGGGGTACCAGCAAAGAGGAAGATTTAAAGACTATATAAACACGAGGCAAAATTTGATTGTGCTTCCCCTCATCAGATTAGTTTGTGACCTTGGATCGTTCTGTCTTGGTCTCATTGCAGAACTGAATCCCCTCCGTGTCTGTCTGATAGTACCATCCCTGTCTTGTTCTCATGTGTCCAGTCATGAGACCCTTAGCCGGCCCCGCCAGGTGTATGTCCCCCGTGTTCTTTAGTCCACAAGGCTCAGTTCCCTGTATCGCAGCAGAAGAGGTCAGCTGTGCTCTGCTTTCTCATGGACTGGGCCGGAGTCCGCCCACCGAGTGTATCAGTATCCTTCCTCCTGGCATCTCTGTGCTAGCCGCTGATTCCAAGTCAGTCTCCTTGCCCTTAGCTCTCTCTGCTCATGGCTTCTTTTTCTTACTTTCTTGGCCAAACTATTTTGTAACCTTGCTATTGAAAGAGGCTGTTCCTGGTTAAATAAAATAGAATAATTAAAATCAGCCTACTGCCCACATAAATTAAGGTCACATTTAAACACATCGTGTGGTTCCAAATGTGTGACATTATTTCTTCACAGTGTCATTGAAGTAATGATTTTTTTCCTCATGTGCAATGTGAGCTGTAAAGCTCTTACATGACAATAGTAATTAACAACTGTGATGCACTTTTCCCTGAGGCCCACCTCTGAGCACAATAAAATTATATTTTCAGAACTGTCTCTGGTGGCCCGCGGCTTTCATATTAGATTTTGTCTGTGAGTTATTATGGTTTCTAATTAACAGGCTTTCTGTGTCCTAGGCTTTTGTCATCTTTTGTGGCCTTGGTATCAACAACACAATTATGTACGATCAAGTGAAGAAGTCCTGGGCCAAGCAGTCTGTGGCTCTTGATGTAAGTACAGTATTATGTCCGCAAGCTATGCTAAAAGGCTTTGATTTTATGAAGCGAAAATTTGTCCTATTCATGGGCCTTAATTTTTCTATCTTAAAGACTCTCCTCACTGGGTCTTAGTTATTTTATGGTCTTGGGTTCAGTTGGGTAACAAGTGGAGACCCTGTCTTGGAAGCTACTGTGATAGCCGGGAGTTTTTGGATCCCCAGGAGCCCATCCATACACACCCTACCATTAGATATAGACCTTGACACTTGATTTCTTAAATATAGATAAGTTAAAATAATTTATCACTGCTATGATCCGAACGTTTGGGAGGCAGAGGCAAGAGGATGAGTTGGAGGGCAGTCTGGACTACATAGCCATCCTGTTAAGAGGCCAGAATAACTGACTGGATTGGAGTGTGAAGGGCCAGGTGTCCCCAAACAAGAGACTCACAGCCATTGTCTCCTAACACCCCCTCCAGCTTCAAGGCCAGTCCCTAGTCACAGTCTTCGAAGGTGAATGTCTTCACACTAGCAACGCTACCAACATTTCTTGCCCCACTCAGATTATGACAATCTCACCCTTCCAAGAAGTTGACTTCTGTTGCTGATTTTTTTTTCTCTTTTGGCCTTGCTTTCCTGCCAGTCAAGGGCAGCACTCCCTGTTAGATCCCATTACTGCCACCTAGGTGTCCCTCTGCCCCTTAACCAACCTCCATGTCGCTGGGAGCCAAATCTTGACGACTGTGATTGGTTGACCCTACCCTAGTCCTTTTGGTCTTGGTTCTACTTGGATACTTTCCCAAGGAGGCGGTCTGTTTAGTTCTTTTATTCCATTGTCTCTTCTTTTTCATTAGCAACAACAGAGAGGCAAGGCAGCCATCCCTCAACCACAGAGCAGTCACCACCTTAGAAACCTGTCTTTCCAGGAAGGAAGCGCATGTGGTTCTGGGCCTAGGGAGCTCACAGGAGTGTGTGTCCCCTGGAGTTCAGGGGACAGCACAGGGCTGTTCTGTCTTTTAAATCATCTTTTCCCCCAAGGGAAAAAGTAAAATAAAATGCTTATCTCTGAAAGTAGGTGTTTTCCCAGTCAATCCTTATAAGTGGTGTGGGCACTTAAGAAGTGACCTTTCCCTTTTCCTCCTTCCTTCCTCCTTTCCTCTTTCCTTTTTTCCCTCCCTCCTTTCTTCCTTCCTCCCCCTTCCTTTCTTCTTCCCTCCCTCCCTTCCTTCTTCCTTCCTTCTTTTCTTCTTTCTTTCTTAACAGAATGCAGGACTTTAATTTACTCTACCCTCCTCAAAAAGTAGCTGATTTCTGTGCATTTAATGCCAGCTACTTTTCTTATTGTGATTTAAAACATCATATCAAATTATGCAAACTCATATATATGTATATAAATTTAAATATATTTTTTATATATTATTTTGTTCCACTGCTCTGGAAAAGTCCTCCTCTCAGACTACATTGTTTTAGGGATACTTTGAATATCTCTCTTGCTTTGTACTAGTGTTTCCTACAGAAGGAGACCACTGGCCTCAGCCAAGCCAAAAGCAGGCTAGGTGGGCGACAGCCAGCACTCACGTTTGCACACGCCTGGTTCTAATTTGGATTGAGTCCTCATTTCATAGCTGTAGACCTTGGACACTCCAAATATGTTCTTAATTACTTCATATGGCAAATGAGCATTAGAAAGTACATTAACAGTCAAGTAAAATTACACAGGGACAGTGTTTAGAAGCAGTATGCAGCTATAACTGGCATTCCTGGTCCTCCCTACCCATTGGCTCCACATCTGTGTGAGAAAGATCTTAAAAATTATAACTGTGATAAACAATACACACTCTCCCCCTTGCCATTCTTTCCTAAATAACATAGAACCACAACTGTCTACTAGCGCTTACATTCTGCCACCTACGGTAAGCGCTGTGCAGATGGCTCGACCTATGTGAGGGGGTATAGCTTATTCACAAGCCCTGCACCCTGGCACCTGGTACTGCGGCAGTGCACCCTAGCGCCTTTGCACCTGGTACCGCGGCAGTGCACCCTGGCACCTGGTACCGCGGCAGTGCACCCTGGCACCACTGCACCTGGTACCGCGGCAGTGCACCCTGGCACCACTGCACCTGATACCGCGGCAGTGCACCCTGGCACCTGGTACTGCGGCAGTGCACCCTGGCACCACTGCACCTGGTACCGCGGCAGTGCACCCTAGCGCCTTTGCACCTGATACCGCGGCAGTGCACCCTGGCACCACTGCACCTGGTACTGCGGCAGTGCACCCTGGCACCGCTGCACCTGGTACCGCGGCAGTGCACCCTGGCACCACTGCTCCTGGTAGCACGGCAGTGTACCCGAGCACCACTGCTCCTGATACCGCGGCAGTGCACCCTGGCACCACTGCTCCTGATACCGCGGCAGTGCACCCTGGCACCACTGCACCTGGTACTGCGGCAGTGCACCCTGGCACCACTGCACCTGGTACTGCGGCAGTGCACCCTGGCACCATTGCTCCTGGTATTTGCACCATTGCATTTAGGTGCAGTTGTCCCAGAGCACTCCCGCTCCTTCCAGGCATGCCCAGTGTCTGCCACCTGTGCCACCATGCAGAAAGGGGCGACCTGGAAATAACAATGGCAAAATAACCAGAGAAAGACTTGGCATGGAAGGGAATATCTTCCCATTGTCACATGCTGGTAACTTCGGCTCATTTCAGCCACTATCCACCAAAGGGGAAAGAGAGATTATACATATACTGCATAATATCTCCTGCTTTTCTGGCCTTTAAAAATGAAATGACTAATATAGTACCTAGATTTTGTTTAACAATTGAATTATCAATCCAATTATTTTGGTGACTGCTTTTCTTGAATTTCTCATAATTGAGTTTTTAAAATTCTATTGTTAAAATCCTTTTCCCTAAATATGTAATATTCATACTGCACAGCTCTCAGATGCTCTTAAAGCAGAGTGACGGAACAAAGGAAGAACTTGGGAGTCATTTGAACACATTTACTTTTGTTATCTTGATTTCCACTCTGTATAAGCAGCCAAAAGCTCCAGAAAAGCTGTGTTTCTTTGGGTTCCTATTTTCCCAGAGCGGGGTCCTAAGAACAAAGGGAAAACTTTCCCTAAAGGTCAGAAAGCAGAATTACAATAGGAGTGTAGATGAGGAATATCAGGTCCTCATTTGGAGCATCAAGAATTGTTCTTTAGGGTGCCCTTCATGGTTATTGCAAATGAAGCCTTACCTGATGCCGGTGAGAATATTTCCAGGAAGTAGAAGTCTGGTTGTTAAGGGAGGCCGCATACAGTTTTACGATCAGAGCAAGGAGCGGAATGAGGGTCAAGCAGAGTGAGAAGAGGCGTGAGCAATCTGCAGCCAGGCGTCGTTTAGTGTGTGGGGGCACAAAGCCTCTCCCGTCTATTTCCCCTTTCCCAATTTCCACAGCAACCATTCTAAGTAAGGGTTTCATTACCCTTGGCTGGGAAATTGCAATCCCTTTCCTCTTGTTCCCCCTGAGCCACAGTTTGGATTGCCTCACTCACCCCCTCCTGGACCTTAAATCACTCCCCTATTACCTATCAAAATACAAATGTCCTGGCCTCTGGGGCCTTTGAAAAATCTCATACCAAAGTACTCTCCTAGCCTCGGCTCTCATTTCTCTTCTCGGGGAATCGCATACTACTCAGACACTTGAGTACCTCATAGTCTGCAGGTCAGCCACCTGCTTGTCTGCCATTTGATCCCTAATGTCCCCCACCTTCATTATTCCCTGTTCCAACTATGCCTCCCCACTCAGAGCTGTCCGTGGTTCAGAGCTTGATTCAAATGTCCCTTTGTCCAGAATGATGTATGTAAATGTCCTTTTGTCCAGTATGATGCCCGTGTGTTTTCCTCTGCCTGAAAATGTGTTCCCTGATGTGACTGTGCTCTATCTCCCCAACACACGCAGCATTTTCTATGTAATTGGTACTCAGTGAAAATGGATTGAGTACGTGACTGCATTTGTGCTGCCTTCTGCTGTGCTCTTCCAGAACAAGAGTCTGGGGGAAACATTGACTCTTTAAGACTGATGACAAAGAGAACGGAGTCATTCTTAGTGGAAATCTTGGTGCCCGCAGACGGGCACAGCACCGCCTCTGTGTTCTCCGTACCACGAGTAGAGCTGGTTTTGTGGGGAAGGACGTGGGGACTAGGAATGAAGACCTCTTTCCAGGTATCGTGTCCCATGGGATCCCTTCTTCTTTAAGAATTAAGGAGTCAGCCTGGCTTCCGGAAGCTAAGGAGAAGAGATGAGATCCCAGTGAGGAATCTCCTAAACGCCAAGGAAACTTCCTGTTGCTGGGATGCTTGCTGCTTTCTTCTTTCTCTCACGCTTGCTCTTCCCACTGAGCCAGTCTTCACTCCTGGGCAGAGCTCTCAGTCGGCACGCATCTTCTTATACGCCGGGGTACTGGGTGTCTGTAAACTGCCCTCTTTTCTGCAGTGAGGAGCCTGTAGCCAAGAGAGTTTACAACGAGCTTCTTTACATATATTTTCTTCCTTCCTCCCCTAAACAGGTTCAGGGCAAGGGAGAAATGGGGTGGAAATGCAGAGCCTGCATGAGCGGTACCGTCCTCAGCCAACTACTGGGCATCTGAACCACATACCTGTATTCTCTGTTCATCATGAGTTGTTTGCACAAACTCTAGGCAGCTCCATGGCCAGAACTCTCATGCTAACGGTTTAATTTTCTGATTAGCGTAGCTGCCTAGTTTGTGTGTCAAGTTGACACAAGACTAGCCAGGACACTGAGCATGAGATCCAGGGAGGTAATGGCCCGAGGTGACCATCAGGGTGCAGTTTCATAGGTTTTCAAAACAGAGTGTGACCCAACTCACAAGCCTTTCGTGTGTCCTGGGGCCTCTGCCAGTCCACTGGTGACCTTTGCGTTCTCTTTGGCCATCTGCATGAAAAGGAGAGCAAACTGGCAAACACAGATCCTAAGCACCCAGCAAGGAGGGCAGATCCAGTGT